ATGAGGGAGCTTTATTGATGAGCGTTGAGAGATGTATTAGTTTTCTTTAAGGATGGAGTGTGGCTCTAGATATGTTAACCAGGCTCCAGTAGACACCAAAAGACATTTGGAATACAAATTTGACCTGATAGGTCTTAATATAAATGCCAGAGTATATGAAATTCAGTGGAAGAGAATACAAGGGAGTAGAGATAGGGGATGAGGTCTAAATATGATCAAAATACATTGTATGAAATTCACAAAAAAAATAATTAAAATGTGTTCTAGTAGCTACATCACAGCAAGGGAAAGGAAACATCTGAAATTAATTTTAATAGTATATTAAATTTAAAACAGTGAAAAAATATTTCATTAAAAAGAAGAACTAAATAACCCATGGATATACTGTCAGTGCTAACTAGACTCAGCAGGTTACATGAAGATTACACATGTTTGGGAGGGAGGAGTGGGTATGATAGGAGTTTGAGGGAAAGGAGTAGGGATGGATTTGATCAAAACATATTGTGTTCATGTATGAAATTCTAAAATGATAAATAAAAATATATTTTAAAATAATGATTCTTCCTGCCCCAGCAAATATCATCTGCCCATAGCTCCTCAATAAAGGATGGGGTCTGGAAGGCACATCCACCATCTATACCAGAAATTTCGACTGACTTGATCTTGTGCAGGTAACCACAGCTGCTATGACTTCCTGAGTGAAGTAGTCATGTCATGTCCAGAAGATAATATTTCATATCACTCATCCCCACCCTCCTTTGAAAAAAATCAATCATTTATTTACTATTTTATCTGTATGAGCATTTTGTCTGCATGTATGTAAGTGCACCATAAGCACGCAACATCTGCCGAGGCCAGAAGAGGGCGTTGGATTCCCTGAACTACTTTTATGGACAGTTGGTTGCCATGTGGATGCTGGGAATAAAACCTGGTCCTCTGGAAGAACAGTCAGTGCTCTTAACCACTGAGCCATCTCTCCGGCCTCCTCCCCATCCTTTTGCTCTTACATTCTTTCTGTCTGCTCTTCTTTGATGTTCCCTGAATCTTGGAGCAAATGTTTTAATAAAGATATCTCATCTAGAGCTGAGCCACATGGTCTGATCGTCTCAGCACTTTGACCAACTGTATGTCTTTGCACTGACTGTTGGCCACTGTAAAAAGAAGTTTCTCTGACTAAAGTTGAGAGCAGTCTAGGTATATAGGCATAAACATAAATATTTAGAAGGCATTTTGACAGCATGATTATTTAACAAAATAACAATGTCAAATTCGACTCTAGGGCCAATGACCTCCCTAGCTATGGGTTTTTAGTGAGGATTACAGTACCAGGTATGAAATTCTCTCCTGTTGAATAAGTCTCAAATTCAATATAAAAACTGTTGCTTAATCCTTAACAGTTGTGCCACTATTGCACTACTGAGTACATAGCTTTCCTGGAAGGTTGGTATTGCAATATACAGAGTCCAATGCTGAGTAGACCACTGTTGTCTTTTCTTCATAGAAGCCTGCATAGCACCTGTCTGCACTATGAAAACTAGCCAGCGGGGAGGAAGTATCTTGGTTGATTTGAGATTGAGGTCTCTATATCTTCCAACCAAAGTGTGTGGTATCTTCAGCAATAGGGTCTTACTATATAGTTATGATGGGTAACCAAGAAAAATGGCAATAGCTTGTGTTGTTTGGGAAATCTCTGGAGCTTCCCTGAGTAAAAACTCAAAGATGAGGTATCCCATGCCTTGCACTAATATTTTCATTTAATAACCTTTGTCTTCTGAGAGCAGCATTTCCCAGTCATGCAGGAGAATTCTGTTTGAATTACCTTAAAATATTTATTTACTCATTTATTTTTATGTGTGTGCACGTGCCTGCATGAGTTTATGTGCACCATTTGTGTGCAGGTACTTACAGAAGCCAGAAGGTGTTGGACCCCCTGGGACTGGAGTTTCAAGTAGTTGTAGGCCACCTAATGTTGGTGCAGAGAACCAAAGTAGGTCCTTTGCAGGAGTGTAAGTGTTCTTAACCCCTGAGCCATCTCTTCAGCTCCCTCAAACTTTTTTTCTTTAAGTTCTATTTGGAATTATCTTACTAGTTAGTGGGTTTCCATATTATCTTCCTGTCTTACTACAAGTAGCTATGGGGAATTTTCCCACTTCTTCCAATGGCCAAAGAGAAAGCTTTATGCAGTGCTTGGGCCACAGGGGCCATCATCCTGACTGGCATTTGAGCAAGAGAGTTCGCAGTTGCTGATGCCTGGTGTCAAGCTCTAGTTGGACTGTCCTGTCTATTAGAGAACCTAGGATATTGCCTTGGTCCCAGGCACCATCTCTTCTTATTCTTATTGTAGGGGTTGCAGGCACCATCACTGAAAACCTCCACCTGAAAAATCTTGTAAAGTAAGAGATGCTTTACCACTAAAGGGAGGGGTCCCAAGAGGCTGGCAAGTGCCAGTGACAGAGAGACAGCTGTGCGTGATGGGAAAGTGAGCACAGAAGGCAAGTGCACTTTCTCATTAACATGTTTCACTATTTTTTTTTTTACTTCCAAGTCTTTCCATTAAGGCCTTAAACAATCACTTGTAATTTTTAGGAAAAGCTTTTTTAGATAGTTTACCCACTTCCTCCCCCCACCACACCTGGCTTCCTTTCATACAGGCAAAATTCTCTATTTGCAGGGTAGAGATTATTGGGATGTCCCTATGGGATCTTCATACCTCTGTCACAGACTCCTCTAAGTACAGGCATGGTTGCCCATGCTGGTAAAAATTGGTTGGTCATGATATGTCTATTGGCTGAGGTTAATGAGGTGTGTGGTCCACTTTTCTTTTTTTGCCCCCACTCCCCATTTTCAGCCCAGTGAGCCCCTGGAGGGAAATCTGCCGTAGCTATCCTGCTGCTGGATGTGAAGGATTGAGATATGAAAGATAGGAAACCCTTATTCATCAGCACCACAAACATTCCCTTTAAGCCAGTGTCCCTATTAGTAAAGCTGATTTTTAAAAAGTGTTTTATTTATTACTATTATTATTTTTTAACAGAGCATAGGGTAGGGGAATGTTTACAGAAGAGTGTGCACCCCACATTTATAGCTACATTATAAAGTCCACACTGAAATACATATCTTATGACCTCCCAACAGCCACACAAAATGGTGAGAGAGGTGCCTCTTGGTGTTTTTGGCTAATCCTTTGCCCCTTCCCCCACATGCAGCTAAGGTTGACTGATTGGGTGAGAAGGGTAATGTAAAGCTGATATTTTAATCTAATTATGTCTATTTTAGTTTGATTACAAATCTCAGCTGGAAGAGGATGATTAGTTTGAACCCTTAATATATCACTTTTCCATATTTTTTTTTTATTATTATTGTGGTTTATTACTATGAGTTGAAGACTGAAATAGTTTAACTCTGAGGGACTGGTTCAAGATGTTTGGGCAGTTATCATCACCAAGACATTTTCTTTTTATTATTTTACTCATTTATTTATTTAATTTGGGGGGGGGGGTGAGACAGGGTCTCCCTGTAGCCCCAGCTGACCTGAAACTCGCTATGTAGACCAGGCTGGCCTCGAACTCACAGAGATCCGCCTGCCTCTGCCTCCCAAGTGCTGGGATTAAAGGCATGCACCACCACACCCGGCTTTTTATTTATTTTATGTGTATGAGTGTATTACCTGCATGTGTGTAAGTGCACCCATGTTGTGCAACACCTGTGGAGGTCAGAAAAGGGTGTTGCATTCCCTGGAACTGGAGCTACAGAGACTTCTTAGCAGCCATGTGGAGGATCCTTTGCAAGAGCAATCAGTGCTCCTAACCGCTGACTCATCTCTCAGCCTCCAAGATGTTTTCTTTTAAAATATTAAAATTTATTTTGTTTTTATTTTACATGTAAGAGTGTTTGCCTACATGTATATAGGCACACTATGTGTGTGCAATGCCAACAGAGGTCAGAAGAAGTCATTGGATCCCCTAGAACTGGAGATGCAGGTGGTTGTTAGCTGCCATGTGGGTGCTCAGAACTGAAAGCAGGTCTTCTACAAGAGCAGTAAGTGCTCTTAACCACTGAGCCATCTCTCCAGCCCCAAGATGTTTTCTTTTTTAAAAACAATGGTTAGCAGTATTCTTGGCCTCTAACAATAGCATTCTCCCACCTCCAGTTATGAAATCCAGAATCTTCAGACATTGTTGCTTATCACCTGGGGAGCAAAATTCCCCCCTAATTAAAAGGCTGCTTTACTAGTGGAAAAAGTTCAGAACATAGCAGGAGCAGAAGCATGCCTCAGTCTTCTTAGGAGAGCCAAGGGATGCCTCTAGGGTGACAAATATCTGAAATTTACAGGATAAGAAGGGGTTTCCTGGTGCTTGAATAGTTTTTAAGGTACTAATGGGGGAGGACATGGCCCTCTGTGACACCTTCTTGAACAACCTACATCACATTTCCTACTACTCTAGTCATACTATTAGAAATTCTCAGGGTCAGTTATCTGATCCAGCTTCTCTTTCCTCTCAGTGCTATTGCTTATATTAGTAGATTCCTTCTCCATATCTACAAATTCTACCTCTGTTGACTGAGCTTAGCTATGGACTATCTTTGAAAAAAGATTGGATTCCCAATGTAAAGTTCTCTTGAAGTGAATTGTTTTCTAAGCATCATGTCTACACTTAGAATAGCAAGAGAGAGGTCATTCTGTGGAGGTCTGACTATGATGGATCATTATGAGGTATTTTAGATATCATTTCAGATTACCACACGTTTTTATATCAGTTGGTGAACATCCATGAGAAGAGACTAAAGTTCTACATCACCTGGGATATGACTCATTGGGTGATGTTCTTGCCTAGGAGTGGGGTAGGAAGCAATCTGGAAGGAATGTGGGAAGATGAAATTGGAAGGCAGCTTTGCTCAACACTATGCAGCTGGGGAGGGTGAAATTGATAGCCAGGCAATGCTATGGTGGGTGGTGGAAGTTTCATAGTAAAAGTAAATGAATCACATGGAGACATTAATGAGTTTGATCATTTATTGATGCCACACAAAGGCAGGCTACGATTATAATCTCATTTTAAGTACTAAGGTACTCATTAGGGTACATGAGGAGGTGGGGTCATCAGTTCATGAAGCAACACAGAAATACAGGGACGGCAAGGAGCCATGAATGTCATACCACCACTTTGGAGGACAATAATAGGTAGAAAGGCATTTTCCCTACCACATTATTTTTAGTGACACAACTTAAAATATTTGAATTAGTAACAAAAGTAGCATCAGATATATTGGCTAAGCTATAGCACCAGGAAGTTAATGTGATCTTTCCCTGGAAAGTGAATCACTGTGGATTGAGCACCAGTTACGCTGTCCCAGAGCTTCATCTTGAAGTCAGAAAAGAGAAAGCTCAGACCTGTACTGTCTAGGGTAGCTTGCAGAGAATTTAAGCCAATTAAATGGGAAGCTAGGATCTGGAATAATATAATCCCTCAAACTGTGTTTCAGATACACGACAGGTTGTTCCAAACAGATTTTCTGAAAGCACTGCATTGGAATACTAGTGGAGACATGGCTGTCTCAGGACACTAGATGGAGGTGTACTTTTGCTTAAGAAAACCTATCATTAAATATGCCTATACTAAGAAAGAAATTCTTAGGACATGAATACTGAATTAAGAAAGTATTCACTACTAACTTTCTAGGAATATTGTTCTCTCATGGTATAATGTTTTGATGTTCAAGAAGTAACTCACATTGTTTTAGATAAGAGATCATGCTACCACTATGAAACGCTGTGTAAACCAAACAGGATGTATTTAAGCACAAGGCCATATTGTGGACCTCTCTGGCTCATGGTACATGTAAATCCAGTGTCTCTTGTTACATTTATTGCTCGCTCCTTCAAGGTGGGGGTAAAGGAGAACCAGGATAAATTAAACCAATGATCTGTTGCATATTGGCCCCTGCAAATATTAAAGAAATGAAGACACCATTTAGGTTCTTGATGCCATGCTCTGTCATCCGAGGCTCCTCTAACATTTCAAGCACCAGTAACTATAGAAACACTGATAACTCACAGTGGAGCAATTGATGGATGTCTCTTACAGCAAGCACAAATGATGAATGTTATACAAAAGTCTCACAACACAGTCTCAGTAGAGGAAGAGGATGTCTGTGTTACATGATCAGAGACCAATTTCCTATCCTTGAAAAACTGGAGAAAGATCTAGAATAGAGCACCTGGCCAGGCTTTCCACATGTATTTGCAATCTTGTCCACTACATAGGCCAAAATGATGTGATATATTGCATTGGGAAATCTGGCTTAGTTTGTTGAAGTCAGTAGAAATCCAGATTTATTCCTGAGTTTTATAAACCTGGTCATACCCAATTCTCTGATATGATGCATTTTACCCTGTGCTAGTATAGAACCATGCTAAGTTAAATAAATCTGGCTCACTAATCCTTCTGAAAGCCTATATTAGTCTTTTCAAACGCCTCAGAAAAAGTCAGGTTCTCCTCCATTCATGTCACTAAAAGTAACAACGTAAATATTTCTCTAAAACTGTTATTTCACCAGAGATTGTCATTGGCCAGCAATGTTTATATTTAAAGATAGAAAATACAAGAGTATATGTTTGTCTACACATAAATTCCTTGGCTTTAGCAAATACTTTCTCCTATTTCTGGTGTACCTTGAATTTCATCCAAAGCTTAGTGTTCTATTTTTCACAGAAATTTATCAGAATAATACACACTAGTGGCCTAAAAAGAGTTTAAAAGCCCATAATAGAAAATATTAGATTCATGGTATCTAAGCAGTAAAACTGGCATTGGCCAGCAACACCATTCATTCCACATTAAGCTGATGTCTATTTGGAGGTTTGTATACTATTAACCATTTGTATGACCAGCTGTTCTTTTTAGATTAGTTCTTCTACCATCTAGGTATTAGCACCACTTTTAGTAGCACCATTCTGCTGAATGGATAGGAAATTAAAGGGAGACGTGGGCTGTTGTGATCCAAGATGGGGACTATGTATATTGGTGCACAAGCCCACAATTATTCTGTCTAGCATATGAAGGCATGCTTTGCCTTCCAGCTGTCAAGAATTGGTTCTGAGGTCTTCATACCCTGGGATTTATACCTCTCCACCTCCCTACCCACCCACCCTTTCTGTATGGGTTCAGTTTCTAAAAGGATCTCCTAGTTGACATGAGTTTCTTGAAAATTTGCTCTGAATTTGAGATCACAGCATATTTTGATTTCAGTAGGAAGGAACATTTAGAATAAACATTTTAACTTTTAATTCAGGATTTTGGACCGTTTTGACTTGGCTGTTCTCAGCGAGGTAAATTGACCTGTATATTTGTTTCTCTATGTGTGTTGCTGGAGATCAAACCTTACAACCTTGTACATGCTACACATGCACCACAGAGCCATTTCTCTAGTAGTATAAGACTTTAAAAAGTCAATAATGAGTATGCTGAGTAGGTAATTTTTCCTTACATTTTAGAGTTTTTCCCCCAGACTGTAATTTTGTACTAAGTTCCTATACTTAGTAAGTGTACCTGGTTCTTTGAACTGGTTTAATCTATAGTTTCATTTTCTCTCCCAGGGGAGTGGTAGGGTCAACTGACAGCCATGACCCTAGTTGAAGTAGTTTTATGTATAATTCCACTTAGGATGATGGTAGGACCTAAGGCCATGACCCACACAGGGACTCGGCAAGGGAGAGAATAGCAGACAGGGACATTTATTTGGTCTGTGAAGGAATTGACAGCATTAATAAAGTGGGGATAATAAAGGCCCACATTTTCTTTCTTATGCTAGTAAGAAATTAATTTCTGTTCATTTTTTTAGAGCTTTTCAAAGAAATTACACTTAAGTTAGAGGTGGTTTCCAGGTTACTGACTTAATCCCCTTAGGCTGCATCTAATGCCTGTATGAACTTAATCTTGAGTTTCCGTGGTTTGTCCCAGGACTTTGAAAAGTCCAGTTGTGGAGTCCTGTAGGGACTGAGACTAGACTGGGATATATCCAGCATTCTCTTCCTACCCTTATTGACTACTGGATGAATGTTCCTAAAAGCTTCCTATGACATTTTAAGCAGCAGCTACCCCATGTAGCTACAGAGGGTATACTCATCAAGCCAATTTAAAATATTATTTGTTCCTTGATGTCTATTTATAAGTGTGACTATGTTTCTTGGTACTCTTGAGGTAGTCTAGGAAAAGCCTGGTCTTTGCTTTAACTTTAAAGGGGAAAAGACATCTTTCCACACTTCTGCCTAATCTGGCACTGTTCTTAGGAGCTCATCCCAGCTGCTTCAGAATTCTTTCAAATTCTTGGCTTTCCTATCAGGACAGGGCCAGGTCCAGGCTTCCTGTGGGGGATATTTTGTGGCTAGACAAACACACTGAGTTTTGTTTTGTTATGACCTAAAGTTAGACTTGAAATATAGAGTGAGATATCAATGAAGTGGCCCTCAGGGCTAGAATAGGCAGCGGGCTGTGGAGGTCTATGCTGGTAGCTTCCTTCTGGACCTAGAAGGTATCAGGATTTTTGAACAACTGCTGTTTTCTTTGCCTCTGGGTGTGGATGCTCTGTGTCTGTGGACAGGAGAGGCAACATTGAGCCCTCACAGTGGGCACAGAACATTTCTTCATGGATTTTAGTGTCTGGCAGAAACTGGCTGACAACCTGTCCTTTGTGCAAAGTAAATCTGTAGAAGAAAAAAGAAAGAAATTGAAAAGATTTTTTTTTTGTAGATAAATACAACTTTTATTGAAGTAATACCTTATGTGTCTACCAAGGAAGGATCCATAACAATTTATAGCAGTAGATATGCAACAAAGATTTATTGTATATTAAACATTGTGTAGAGTATATTAAACTGACTTCATTTCAGGGGTAATATAAGTATTCCCACTACGCCATGGCTGCCTGATAGGTGGAGGATACTTTCCTACTCCTTGGCTTTGGGCTCAGCTCTGTGACTTGTTTTGGATGGTAGGATATTAGTAGCTATGATCCCCAGAGGGCAATTGAATGTGCAGGAAGATTAACCTGTTCCAATAAGCTTTTTCTTTCCATAAAGAATCTGGTTCAGGTAGCTACCAGACAAAGGGGATGATAAACACTGGGGCAGGTCTATATTCAACCTACACTTGCAGTCAGGGGTATCCAAAGCCAGTCTAGATCAGCAGACACACACACACACACACACACACACACACACACACACACACACAGACACAGACACACACACACACACACACACAAGCTTTTTTTTTTTTTACTTAGATATGCATTTTTCTTTCCCTCTTTAAAAATGTATTAATTGATTATTTTAGACAGGGTTTCACTATGTAGTGCAACCTGGCCTTGAGCTCACATCTTCCTGGCTTGGCCTCCCAAGTACTAGATTATAGGTAGGCACCACAATGCCCAGTGTGCTCTCTCTCTCTCTCTCTCTTTCTCTCTCTCTGTCTCCTCTCTCTCTCTCTCCCTCCCTCTCTTACACACATTCTCAAAATGATATTCCAAATGCACTAGACCACCTACCTACTATAGATCTAGAAGGAGTTCAGTAAGGCCTTAATCACAGATTCTCAGATTGTTTTCCTTGTAGAAAGTGAAATTGTTTCAAACTTTGCTTGCCTTCCTCTGTAAGTCCTGGCTTTCTTTTGTTTTCCTTTATGGAGAACTCTAATATTTTAATAGTCTCAAAGAACTGTGTTCCCACCAATGAGCAGTGCACTGTTCTTTGTAAATGGAGGTCCAGTAATCGAAATTGAAGTAATGTCTTCTTGACTCCAAACCTGTAATTTTCACTTCTTTGTGCCCCTATGGGCATAAATGTTTTTATTTCCTCAGAAATCATAATTTCCTTGACCGCACTCCCTTTTTTGTGAAATAAATAAATGTCCCTGCTAACTGTTGAATCTCATTTTGGGTATAAGTTTTAAGTATGCTAAGGATTTAGCAGCGTATAATGATCTTGGAACCTCAAACTGTCTTCATTGTTGATTCTTTCCTTCTTCAGTCCCCTTCTTTAAGCATTAAGAATTTGTCTCTCCTAAGAGCACATAGGAATTTTTTTTATGTATTCTGAAGTTCAAGAGAGAGCACATGCTTAGGCTGAGCATTACTACTATGAAATGTCCTCTGAGCTCCTTATCTCCCATGTGTCCATCAGAGGAGCAAGGATTCTCTATGGGGTCTTGGCTGTACATCAGTGGATTCTGGTTTGCAACAAACAAGGTTTTCTCTCCAGCCTTCTGTTTTTAGAATAAGTCCATCATGAAAACCTAGGTGTCACATGGCTGCCCAATTTTTAAAAAATATTTTATTTATGTGCAAGAGTGTGTTTCCTGCATGTGTGGGAGTGCACCCATACCGGGCAATGCCTGTGGAGGTCGGAAGAGGATGTTCGATTCCCCTGGAACTGGAGTTATGGACGGTTGTTAGCCGCCATGTGAGTGCTGGGAATTGAACCCAGGTCTTCTGCAAGAACAGTCAATACTCTTAACCACTGAGCCATCTTTCCAGTTCCAGGGCTGCCAAATATTCTTAGCTTCTGAAGCCCTTGAAGAAGGTGAATGGAGAAGGCACATGTGTGTGAGTTCTGCTGCACATTTTCCTCCATGACTATGTGAGTTCTTTAGAGCTGCTATTAGAAATGGAGAAGATGGAGGAAGTGTGACTTGGCTTACTTCCCACCTTTCCACAAAGCTTCTTTGGAAAATCAAGGATTTCTGGTAAGTACCAGAAGCTATGACAGACAACATGAACCTAAAAACAAGTTGATCTCAGGCCTTAACTCCAGAACTGTTAAAGAATACACTAATTTTTTTTAAGATGCATACTTTATGGCAAATTGTTATGGTAATGCTAGTGAAATTAGACAATGTATCCCTCACCCATGACAATAACAACAGTAAACACTTTATTAAACATGTCCCATGTTTAAGGCAATGTGCTTGATGCATACGCTACCATTTTATTTTCTGACAAGTTCATTTTCCGGTATATCTGTTTGATCCCCTTTAAAAAATGAGGGCTTCAAAAAGATTTAAAAACTGACCTGGCATCACATGGCTGGAATTTGATATTGCCTCAGTGTTTCTAAAACTTTACCCAAGGAGAATGAATTTCTTGTACTGATGACTGGGGAGAAGAGAGTCAAATGGGCAAGTTTCCCATGCCCAGAATGGCTTCATTTGTTTAACACAGAGGACCCTGTTGTCAGATTAGATCAACACAAAATGACTGAAAGAGGCTCCCTGAAAGAGGTTGCCTGATGCTAGCAATCAAGTGTTCATGAACCCAGCTTTTCAAGGTCCTCAGTGTCCTGCAAACATGCTGGTTTTTGAAGTGTAACTTTGGCAGTGGAGATCTAGAAGCAAGGCTGGAGGGCAGAGATGGCCTGTTAGTATTTTGCTCTAGGCCTATGTCTAGCAGGTCATTTAGACAATGGCTGTGAGCCTTCCATCATGGTGGGGCATAATTATACCAGTTCTCCTTAGTATTATGAAACAATGAAGGCTTGTGTTCATCAGCCAACTGAATCCCAGCCCTGAAGTACACACAGTGCTTATAATTAGGGGCAACTTGGAGAGCAGACAGCAATTTTCCTTTGATTATTCAATAGCAACTAGACTTGGAAATTTAAAAGAACGATTATCTTCCTGCTCTCTTTCAGACACCTGGGTTTAAGTTGAAGGAACAATATTTTGTGCATAAAAGAAAACTGAAAAACAGCTTCATTGTTGCTGACAGCTTCCATAAGACTTAGTGATCCATGAGGCCAGAAACCACATCTTACTCATGATCTTGTCAGCTTTTAGCACTTGCATAAGGTGTATCTTAAAATCAATGTTTGCTGAATAAATGAATGAGAAAAATTCCATTCATTTGGAAAAAAAAGTAGAAAATTTATAGACTCAAAATTTCATTTGTATCAACATTGGATCTGTTTATGTTAATATTATTAATTAATCTTTTCTAGCCTCATTCCTCAAATTGAACAATGTCCTAGTTACTTTACTATTGTGATAAAAACACTCACCAAAAGCAACTTGGGGAGGAAAGGGTTTATTTCCCCTTGCAGTTTACAGTCCATCATGGAGGGAAGCCAGGGCAGGAATTCAAGGCAGGAATCTGGAGGCAGGAACTGAAGCAGAGACTGTAGAGGAGGGTGCTTATTAGCCTGCTTCCCTGGCCTGTGTTCAGCCTGCTCCCTTGTACAACTCAGGACCATCTGCCCGGGGGAGGCACCAGCTACAGTGGGCTGGGCCCTCTCATATCACTCAATAATGATTAAAATGCCTCAGAGACAAGCCCATGGGCCAAGAAGACAAAAGAAATTCCCCAATTGAGGTTCCCTCTTCCCAGGTGTGTCAGGTTGACAACCAAAGCTAAGCAGGACAAATAATAAGAGCAAAGTAAAACAAACACAGCAAAAACCTAGAAGGGTATGTGTAAGAGTTTTGGTTTGCTTTGTTTTAATACCTAGCTACTTGGAAAGGGTCTTATAATCTCTATTATGAACATGGTAGTTCTAATTTGATTTTAAATTATTAAAATTCAGATGGTACCTAAAAGAAGTAAAATGGTCATGGTATTTTGAATGAGAAATTTTCTCCATTGGTTCAAGTATTTGGGCACTTGATATATGGGTCCAATTGGTGGCAATATTTGGGGTGGTCATGGGAATTTTAGGAGGCATAGCCTTGTTGGAGGAAGTATGTCACTGGGGGCTTTGAGAGTTCATAATATCACTCTACTTCTAGCTCACTCTCCACTCCATGTTTGCCATTGAAGATGTAAGCTTTCAGCTTTCTACTCCTGCCACCATGCCTCCCTGCCATGCTGAAACAGTAAGCCCAAATAAATGCTTTCATCTATAAGCTGATACTGATGATGGTATTTTATCACAGTAACAGAAAAGTAACTAATACAATGGCCAACAGGAAAGCAATGCACCTTACATGAATTCATACTAGATCTTACATGGTCTTAGGGTCATGCTTATTGTGATGGCTGGCTTGAAAGCAGTTTGGTAGTGAATGATTTATTTTCAAAGCATTTTGGTTTATAAGGAGACAGGGTGGGAAGCTGGCCCCTTAAATCAAATAATTTCTTGCAACTGTTCTTTCAGGTTGCCTCTCTATAAGTAAGAGCAATTTTGCCTTGAAGAGAGGCTAGTAATTAACTTTTATTGCCTTGATAATTGCTGGTGAGTGGAATTCATTATTATTTACATCAATTGCCAGCTAACTGTTAGTCATCATCTATTCAGTATGAGATTTCAAGATGAAAAATATCATCTTTGCATTTAGCCAAGTTTTAATTACTGAAGACTATAATGTCCAGCAAAAGGACAGTGAAAGATAATCTACATATAATTAAAAATTACCCATAATAGCAGATGTTATCAAACTGGATGAGGTGGTTGCTTCCATTTTATAAAAACCATGTCATAGGAGAAGTTCAATAGCATCAACATTTTTTAATTAATTAATTAATTAATTAATTAACTTTTGTCTTTTTGAGATAGGGTCTCCCTGTAGCCCCAGCTGTCCTGGAACTCACTATGTAGACCAGGCTGGCCTTGAACGCACAGAGATCTGCCTGCCTCAGCCTCCCGAGGGCTGGGATTAAGGGTGTGCACCATCACACTTGGATTTTATTTTTTAATTATCTTTTGTCTTTTTGAGA